TGATATCAACTCACAAAAAGAAGATCAAATATGATTTGACCATCTAAAATCCACAGGAATAAGGCTTTTCATGAGGCTTTTTGTGAATTTCAAAATGAAAAGACATATCTTAAAGATAAGAATATAGATCAAGGTTTTCATTGTGCATCAATGTAATTGGATTGGTTTGTTTCGGATCAATTAAAACCTTTTATTATACAAATTAAGAACACAGTTGACTCCTTTTTTACTACCAGGGCACATTCAGGGGAATTGGACAGAATTTCCTACGACTGCAGCCACAAAGTTTAAGTTGTTAACAGAGCTGACTCTGAATAGCAGCCTGTCAGATACGATCATCCTGTCTGGGCTGCTCCCTAAAACAGACCAGCAAAACCAAGAGGGAATCGAGCTCCATGACGTGATATCAGCTTGTGTCCTCATCCTCTATCAGAGCCCTTTTGTGTCTGATCCTCCTTCTCAGTTTGTTTCTAAAGCCTGTTTTTGTCCTGATGAAAACATTATTTTCTTTTCTGTTAGAGTAAAATAAAAAGTAAATTAAAAAGGGGAAAATTCTTCTCAGTTTTTTTTTTTAATGAAAAATGTTTTTACATAACAGTGTTGTCTCACATAACTCTGCTGGATTTTGGTCCCAGAGAAATGACTCAGAGCTAAGGCTGCATCTGGATTTTGACCTGGAAACTAATACAACTAAACTATGTTAAAACTGTAATGAACAAAAATAAAAGGTTTGGTCATTGTTGCGCTAATTCTGCTGACTAACAACAGTAAGAAAAACAAGCTATAAATATTAGCTTATCAAAGAGATTTTGCTCACTGGCACTGCATGGTGTGTGAATAATTTAATGATATACAGACCCTCAGAAGTCCAGGCAAAACATTTATTTCTGTAAGTTTCCCTGCACTACTTAAAGGTGCCGCCTTATCAGAAGATCTGAGTCTTTTGCAGTTAAAGTTTCAACTCTAAGAAGCAATAAAGTAGATTTCTTTTCACTCCAAATATAATACATTTTGACTTCACAGTACAAATTAAATCCCCTTAAATGCTCCCACTGTATTGAAGAGTGGTTCAATAAATAGCATACGAGACTGGATTGTGATCAAGCAAAAAAAGCATCAAGAAATAAGCAATTTTGTATTTTTTTTTTGTAATTAGAAAAATCATAAAAACTTTGGTGCCAGAATTATTGGTACTTTTTTTTATAATTAAATTTAACAGTACATTGATTTGTTTATTATTATTTGTGAGTCTTGAGAAATGTTCCATTTATAATCAATGCCTTTGTGTTTCCTTAAGTATACTTGTGCCATGGCACAAATGCACATTTCCCTTATCTTCTCAACAAAATAGAAAAGACAAGAAAACACAACATTAAACAAGCCATATATGAATGGTGTTCTTTATAGGTTGGATTAATGGTAACCTGAAAATGTCATCTTCTCCAAACTTGCATATCTGAGGTCAGAAGAATAATAAAAAAGCTTAGAATTGCTATTAACAATCATGTATATATTTATAATCAAAGCTTATTTAAAGAAGTAATAACTAAGACTTTTTTTGTAAAATCAACCAAAATCATTCTTATTTGTCAAGTTTTATCCTTCAAAACCTTAAGGAACAATACAAAACTACTTTGGTGCAGTCTGTAGCCTGTATTTATATAATTTGGTCCATTTCACAAAGCAGGTCTACTTAAAACTAGTGTCAGGCCGATGCCCTTTTTTGGCCCCGATGACCGATACCGACACCATCTGTTTGAAATTGATGTGTGTGTGTATATATGAAGAACTGCATACTACTTGGATGTAAAATAATTCCCATCATGGCTTTGTCAAGCTGCTGCCTACCTTTGTGAAGCAGGAAATACAAAATTAATCCAGTAGAACTTTTAATTGCCTAACTGGAATGGGTGACAACAGTTGAATAAACTTTTGGCTCTCAAAATGGTATCGGTGCTCTATTTGTCGGTACTTGCCGATACCGATATCACCATTTTAGTGCTGGATCGGGGCCTCGCCTGATACTGGTATCGGTTTTTTAAACCTGAAATTTTTCTTCTAATTTTCCTTTTTACAAAGAGAGTCTCTTCAACCTAGTAACATTCGCCCCAGAGCTAACCTGGTCAAGATCAGGATTTCCTTAATAAACTCTGCCTTCATGAAAGTCAAATATGTTGTTCTATTTCCGGATTTATTCAGAGAAATTCTTTTGTAGCTTTGTGAGAACAATAAAAAGAAAATAAAACATCCACTAGGTTAAATAGACACATTAGGCCTTAAAGACACAAGCATAGCATGTCCTTTTGACAAGGATCCGTTTAAAGGATAAGTGGCATTAATTCCCAGAGAATTAAATATTTATAAGGAGAGGGTTCTCAGACTTTCATATTCAGAAAGTTATCTTTATGAGCGTTATTGTTTCACCTCACAATCGATCACGAACATCCACTACCTTATCTGTCTCACATTAGCAGCAATACACAGACTCCTTTAACAGAATATCAATGCGAGCACATTGACATGTGATAACAGCAATATAGAAAGCAATTGCAGAGTCAAACAGCCACTTAGAATTTACTGTGTAATCATGGATTATGGTTTATTGCTGATTTATTTATCCAAAAAGGTACCAGAATCAAAAATCCAAAAACATCAATCCTCAGGATCCGCAAAAATACAGATGAACCAGGAAAACTCACTTGAAGGGGATGAAATGACAAACCAGCAACAGTGACTGAGCAGGAGGTGCATATAGGGGAGAGAGAAACAAAGACCAGGCTTATCAGCAGGTTGAGAGCAGGTGTGTCCCTTCAGAAAGAAGCTAGGGAAAAGGAGACTGACACAGGAGGGCAACAGAGGGCAAACAAGAAATACCTAAGAACAAAAATACAATAAAAATAACTAGAATAACACACAATGGAAATAAAACCAAATGAGAACTCAAAGATAAAACTTAAACAGAACCAAAACCATCACACCATGAGATGATGAACAGGTCCTACCGGTTATAACAACATTTTTATACTTAACCTTCACCTTCTGCAAGGTGCCCATCTTCCCCAGTGGGATTGAACTTAAATATTGATCCACAACCATTTAACCAGTAAAGTATTTTCCCCAGTAATGTTATCATTACGCCTGCAGGCCCTTTTGATATTTATCAGTTTGTCTGAATATGTGTTTTAGATATCTAAAATACATTTGTTCCAAACAAAATGACATCTGAAATAAAAATTCTGGATATCTAAAAATGAATTTCAGATCTCATTATTCCTATTGTTACTTGTCATAATTTGTATTATTTTTGATTAAATCACATTAGCTTGAGCAGCAATCATCTCCTACTCCATCTTCCTCTTCTTTGCAGTTGTAGTGCTGTTGCTCTGTGTTTTAACAGAGAACCAGAGCGAAAATATGACTAATGATTCCTAAGAAGCCTCCACATCCTTCAGAAGTATTCATAGAACAATTTACTTTGGCTGAATCTTTTTAGCCAGGTAACCCACCTGTTAATCTCCTTAGAGGGTGGGGTGGATGTTGCTGCCTGTTTTCTGCATTGTGATTTGAAACATTTGGTGTTGATATTACGTATTGCTTCTTTAAATATATATATATAT